AAATTCTGATGCTTTGAATTCCCTCTGCTACTGGACCCGTAAGTGCCTCTATACCTACTTTGGATTTGTATGCATTTTTTTGTGGATGAGCACTAGGGCATTTACCTTACAAATAGAGCGCGGTGGCTACCTCTATACAATATATAGATAGATATTGTTTAAATATAAAGCTGTGAAGGTGACTATCACCAAACATTCACTAGTGGTGAATCAATCACTGCCATTTACCAGGAAGATTCTCCTCCAGTAAATAGTTGGTGAATATCAGCTTCACTGCTTTATAAATATACCCCAAAGGCTCAGTATAATGTCAGCAGTAAATAGGAGCTATACAGAAGCTGTAACAGGAACAGCTTCTCCCATAATTATAATGCATTTTATGTACACGGAGGGAGGGAACATGAATTGGCTGATTGTAAATCTGAACCTAGAGCGTCTTGAGGCAGCAACCTCAACCAAACTCTATTGGCTGCTTTTATGTAACGCCTGTTTTCAGCCTCCCCATTTCTCCTATTTATTTCACTGCTAGAGTAATGCTAGTAAGAAATGAATCCAGAGATTGACACATGTGGGGAACTCTGTATACACAGTAATGATGAGTACTAATGAGTGAAATACATATCTCTTCCCACCTTTAACAATCACCTGAATGCCTTTTTCCTTTTCTTTGTATAATCTCTAACTACATTCAAACCTATGTTTGCAGATGGCAAGCAGTGAAATATAACAAATTACAGCAATCATTAAGGAGAAATACAAGATTCTGATCGACTGTAGTGCTGGTCCTCCCTCCCAGTCCCAGTGATGTAGAGGATTACAGGTAACTGATATCAAGACAGTTTTAGGTACTTATACTAGCTGAATTTAGAATCCATATAATGATTTTTAATGAATACACAACTTCCTTAATAGCTGTATTTTATATCTCTCTGGAGTTCGGCTTTAAATATTCTTTTTATAATTCACATTTCATACCAGACATCCAAGCTCAGGATCATGGCCCCAGTAGTTGGCTTTGCAGAATTCGCACTTCGACCCGTGCGTGTGAGGGGGACAGATACACTCTCCAGTCTGCGGGTTGCAGTTATTCTGTGTATGCTCACAGTCACAAGCTGAGGACAAACAACACACATATCATGCAGATCTAATCATCAAGAAAGACAGTTATAAAAAATAAATGGATGCTAGTTGCCTGGTAGATATATCCTAGCAACTATTTAGAAATAATATTTCTTGAAACACAGCCTATCAATTGACTGACAAGCAGTGAAATCACTGAATGTGTATTGATCTTTCTGTTGCGCTTAAGCTGTTTTTATTATACAACCCTAAAATTACTGAATAAAACTCATAAAGCATCACCATGAGATGCATTTGAGATGAGCCAGCTGCATAAAAGAAATAGGGTGCATGAGAAAAATAGAATGTGTGTATATATGAGACAATATATATTCAGTGCTGCAAGCTGACATTTTCCTCAATCACTTGCAGACTTCCAGTTACCAGCCAGGACAATGGCACATATAACATTACCTGAGCTCTTTATAACTGACTTTCTTTACTGCTTTGGCAATAAAGGCTTTTATTAGCTATACATTATAAATGGATATCATCTATTGAAAGTTTTATTTTATAAGAAACATAGTTTGCTGATAATGGCTTCAATTATTTTTATTTAAAATTGTTTCAAGGATCTATTTTTTTGTCTAACTTTAGCTGCAGAAAGTCAGAGAATGGAGCTGACTGGTAGGGGAATCAAGATCAAACCATAGATGGGGATATTAATCTGGAAAAACTTGTAATGACACCCACGAACAAAGCATTCTAATTTCCAAAAGGTTCAATAAAGAAAATAAATGCTGCAGATGAACACCAGGGGGCAATGCAGGACTTCTCCAAATAACTTCCAGTGCTGCTTAGTTTGTCAACAATATTTCTGTATCTTGCAATACATTTATATCAAATAACAAAAAACTGAGTAGATTATTATTATTATTAT